CAGAAAAAAAAGAAAGAGCGAGACTCGAAGCGATCGTTTATTTTAACATTTTCTCAATTATTAATTACATTGTTTATCATTTGCAAAATAAAAAAATAAAATTTACAAAAAAATTACTCCACTAAAATTTCAATGGGGTATTTTTGTCATTCGATAATAGGGCTCTCTGCAAGAACTTGTACATATACACATATACTGGCATAACAATTTCGCGTCCATTGGGATAACGAATTTCGGTTGACGAGGAGATGAGGGGGGAGTAAAGGGAAGTAAAACGGGGGAAAGGGTGAGGGGGTTGGGAATTATTTACGTCAGTGGAGTGTTTGTGATCGTACTAGGGACGGGGTGTTAGACTCCTCGACGACAAAACGTTGCTGGCGCACGCGGTTGTTGCTTGCATTTGAACCAGGGTTTTGCTGCTTGACTCGCCCCTGTGTATGATATGCCGTCAGCAGGATGAAATGGTTTCCCCTTTGGTTGCCAAGGTAACCTATGGCCCACCCTTCTCGCATTGGCGACCACCCCACACACACACACATACACACATCCAATGCACCCTATGTATATTCTCGACCCAGGCCAGCACACGCTGCTGCTCTCAGCCACTTTCACGGTTCCACTCACTATACACATTTCTGGCCAGGAAAAATTTTTTTTAGATCTTTTTATATAGTTACACATATACTACATGTGCATATACTACATAAGTGTATGTACATGCACATATATTATGATGTACACATATTAGTTGGGTATGCGTACAGATATTTTACGGAAGACTTGAGTATATGTGCACTTATAATTAGTATATGTGAAGCGTATGTGCATATGTGTATACTATGTAAACTTGGGTATACGTACACTTATAGTTGGTATATGTGCAGCATATGTGCATTATATATAGTGTATATGTGTTACTACACATACTAAATGTGTATATGTGCAGTGAATGTATGGAATATATGTGTAGTAAATGTGCAGCATATGTGTTGTATATGTGCAGTATATTGTAGTATATGTCTAGTATATGTGCAACATTTGTCTGGTATATGTGAAGTATATTGTGATATATGTGCAGTGTATGTGTTGTGTATGTGCAGAATATATGTCTTGTACATGTGCAGTATTTGTATATGTTTAGTGTATTTGTTGTATATGTGAAGTATATTGTGATATATCTGTTGTACATGTGCAGTATATGTGTTGCATATGTGCAAAATATTGTAGTATATGTCTAGTATATGTGGAGTATATTTTAGTATATGTGCAGTATATGTGCATTATGTCTACTGTATATGTGCATTATATGTGCAGTATATGTATTGCATATGTGCTGTATATGTGCAGTATATGTATTGTACATGTGCAGTATATTGTAGTATACGTCTAGTATATGTGTCTGTATATAAATGTACTCTGTACCAAACACACCAGATATTTGCATACTGTCTACATATATTTAAACACGCACCAGTTTTCGCATTTTAATGTATGAATATGTAAACATGAAACCCACACATTTGCACTCACTCCTCTTTCTATTTTACATATACAGTCTCTCAGGAATTTCGAAAGATAAATTTTACTCCAATTTCGGGGAGAGATGAAAATTACCTGATGCGCATAATGAAACTTACGTTCGTGAAATAATTTTTATTCAAAGAGGGTTTTTCCACAATTTCCGCAAAGACAACCGTTTCGAATTATTCGGCTTTTTTCGTTTTTTTAATTTTTCGAATTTTGTTATGATTTAAATGATTGTTTACCGTTTTGCAGAATTTGAGAATTTTGATACAATTTAAATGATTGTTTCGGTTAACTTAAACACTAAAGTTAATTTAAACTGTAAACTTAACTGTAAACTTTAACTTACAGATGTATCAAATTGCAACGAATTGATACCAAAAAAGTAGATAAAAAAAAATTGAAACAAATTTTTGGTATCAATTTGATCCACTTTCGTAGCAATTTGATCCACTTTAGTACGAATTTAATACTTTCAAAAATAGTGTTTTACCGTTTCGCAGAATTGAGTAGTTTTCATATATTTGAATAAATTGCGCGCTTCTTTGACCAATGAGGGCAGTTTTCTTCAGCACAGGAGAGGGGCGCATGCGCGAGCGCAGGAGTGGGGGCAATGAGAGTGAGAGAGAACTCTCGGTTTCTCTCTTTCTTTCCCATTATCCCCACTTTCTTTCCTCTCTTCTTACTTAACAAAAAGGTTTAGTTTTAGCATTTCTAATAGTTTTTTTTTTTGCTTTATAATATTTAAATGTAAATTCTAAATTTAAAGTGTTTAGATAAACTGGTTACTTTTGCATATTATATAATTAAGAAATTATCTCCTAAAATAATATTCATGAACTAGGAAAGATTTATTCTCTAAAAGTTTGCTTCTTTTAACTTCAACTTAATTCCAGGTCTTTTGATTTTTTCCTAAGATCCTGATCTTAAGATTTTGATCACAGTTAGTAATTTTTGATCACATTGTAGTAAACTACTCTCCTTTAGTAAACAAACAAGTAGCATACAGATACCGAATGTTTCTGCTTCTGGGAAAAAAAAGAGATTTCGATTTCTTTTGATCTGACCGTGGGTTTATTTTTTGAATTGAATTTAAAAGAAGGTTTATTGACACTTGAACTAATTTATTTTCAAAAGGGAAATTGAAATTCAGAAGGAGGCTGGCAAAAAAAAATTGAATGAAAAAGTGAGCGTAAGAGTGTGATGGTGGTGTAAAGAAATCAAGACACAGGAAGCTAGTATTCTTGTCACGACGCCGCCAAACCGACGCCTGACATTGCTTGACTATCTTCGTGTCTGCAGGAAATTCCATTAGAATTTTCGTTTTTTAAATTGCAAACGTATTTCTCTTTCGTTCATATAATTGCTTTTGCTATACCAACAGCTTCAAAAAGATGTTTGTGATCCTAAAGTTGTTTATCTTTCAAAGTAGAACTTAAAAAATCATTTTTGTTTCATTTTTTGCTAAAACTTAACAATTTTTTTTCGATTATTGTTCAGCTTTTGTTTGATAATGTTTATAATTATTCATAATCTCTGGTTGTAAATGGAATTAAAATTAGTTAACAATCTGTAATTGCAAATGAATTTAAAATCAGTTGATTTGCAATTATCTTTAATTCATTATGAAGTTAAAATCTTCATTTGCAATTCGTCGTTGAAAATTATTTCATTATTTCTAATTCATTATGAAGTTAAAATTTTTTCACTATCAAGAAAAAAAATTTTTTTTTCCCTTCTCCATAATAGTATTGGTGAAAAAAAATATTTCGCTGGTTGAAAAAAAATATTCGACTACCTGAACGCATAAGCATTGCACGGTATGATTTTAACAGAACTTTAAATACCCAAACACCATAAAAAACATCATAATGCAGGAGAATCCCGTGTTTACAACCTGGACTCTCGAAGACTATGAGGGAAAGTCAGGTCAGACCGCTGGGGTATTTAGAAAGGGTTTTTCTTCGTTTCTGACTTTTTTTCTCTTTCTTCAAAAAAAAAAAAACTTTTTTTCCTTTTTTTATGCCCTTTTTTCCAAAACTCGCAACTTTTCTGGGACCTCAACCCCTGCAATAAAAACCTAGTGACCATACGAATTCACTCTTTTGTGAAAGGGAAAGCAAGAAATGTTAAGAGAGAGTTAAGATTTGTGACAGCACGAAAAAAGAATTTTTCTGTCAACGGGGGGACAATCAGTCATTTGTCGAACTTTTTTCAGTCAAGGTCAACCATAAATTTTCCACTTTCTTTTAATGTAACGAACGAGATAATTTTTTTTTCTCAGAATATTGATAATTTCGACTAAATAGTTTGGGTTTTTTTGAAATTAGAAAAAAAAGTTTCTTTTATTATTGAACAATTCGAATAATTGAAAATTAGAATTAATAATTTTCTATTCTACTTTTCAATTATTTGAATTGAATTGAAAATCAGAATTGAAAAGTAAAATTGAAAATTGAAATTGAAAATTAGAATTGAAAAATAGAATTACAAATTAAAATTCAAAATTAGAATTGAAAATCAGAATTGAAAACTAGAATTGAAAATAAAAATGGAAAATTAGAATTAAAAATCGATGTTGAAAATTAGAATTGAAAATCAGAATTTAAAACTAGAACTAAAAATTAAAATTCAAAATTAGAATTGAAAACTAGAATCAAAAATTAAAATTCAAAATTATAATTGAAAATTAAAATTGAACGTTAAAATTGAACGTTAAAATTGAAAATTAAAATTGAAAATTAGATTTACAAATCAAAATTCAAAATTAGAATTGAAAATCCGAATTGAAAACTAGAATAATTGAAAATTAAAATGGAAAATTAGAATTAAAAATCAAAGTTGAAAATTAGAATTGAAAATCAGAATTGAAAACTAGAATTAAAAATTAAAATTCAAAATTAGCATTGAAATTCAAAATTCAAAATTAGAATTGAAAATCAGAATTGAAAACTAGAATGGAAAATTAAAATTCAAAATTATAATTGAAAACTAGAATTCAAAACTAAAATTCAAAATTAGAATTGAAAATCAAGATTCAAAATTAGAATTGAAAATCAGAATTGAAAACTATAATTGAAAATTAAAATAGAAAATTAGAATTAAAAATCGAAGTTGAAAATTACAATTGAAAATCAGAATTGAAAACTAGAATTCAAAATTAAAATTCAAAATAATAATTGAAAATTAAAATTGAACGTGAAAATTGAAAATTAAAAATTAAAATTAAAAATTAAAATTGAAAATTAAAATTGAAAATTAAAATTGAAAATTAAAATTGAAAATTAGAATTAAAAAGTAAATTTGAAAACTGAAATTAAAAACTAAAATCGAAAATCAGAATTGAAAACTAGAATTAAAAATTAGAATTGAAACTAGAATTGAAAAGTAGAATTGAAAATTAAAATAATTAAAAACATTGTTTTAAAAAATTTCAAGAGCTTTTTAAAAAAAGGATTGTTTTGTTCAACTTTCAGAAGGCCGCATGTCCAATCTAAATACCCTGGACATATGCCGTTCTGAGCCGTTGTCAAAGCAGAATTTCAATGATCTTACTTGGGAGGGTCAATATTATAGTACGTATAAATTTTCAAATTAGCAAGAACATGAAAATTGGAAAATCCTTAAAAAAATATTTTTGGGAAATTTATAACTTTTGATTTTGTGAAATTTCTTTTTGATAATTGCAAAATATAATTAGTAGATCATTGTCTGCATTGTTTATACCTATTTATTTATAATGGACATGGAATTTTTCCGTTTACTTTCTAACTATAATTTGTGACGCGCTCCCTAGGTACCTGAGAAACAAAAAATTTTATAGTTTATAATTTTTGAAGTAAAAATACAGAAAGAGAATTATCTTGTAACAAATTGATTGTTCAATTCTTCATTAGAAAATATTCATTAAAAACTGGTTTTAAATTTAAATAATTAAAAAGAAACTTTTAATGAAAATAAATTAAACATCTTAATTCGTTTGGTTCTTAGGTACCTTTCTTGGGAGAGCGGCAAAAATGGCAAAATTTCTTGCTACTTAACCCACATACTATAAAACAAAACGTTTTTAGAAATCGAAAAGTTTTTCGATCAAAAAAAAAAAAAAAAAAAATTAGTGAAGAAAATTAATAGAAAAAAAAATGTTTGCAATTGTTTCAGGTCCAAACGGTTGTCCGAGGCGTAGAGGTCGACAAACCTACACACGATTCCAAACGTTGGAATTAGAAAAGGAATTTCATTTTAACCACTACCTGACGAGAAGACGACGAATAGAAATCGCCCACGCTCTCTGTTTAACGGAACGGCAGATAAAAATTTGGTTTCAAAATCGACGGATGAAATTGAAGAAGGAATTGAGGGCGGTAAAGGAGATAAACGAGCAGGCTCGTCGTGAACGTGAGGAGCAGGATATGATGAAAAAACAACAGGCCGAGAAACAAGCTAAAATGCAACAGGAGCAACAAACAGCACTGCAGCATCAGCAACACCACGTCGGTGGTCTCGATAAAACGCAAAACGATCTCCTCAAGGCTGTCAGCAAAGTTCCCGCATAGGGAACGACATTGCTCACTTCACTCTCTCTTGCCTAGGAGATAGTAATTAAATATTAATCGCAAAAAAAAAAAAAATAAAAAATACACACTCGACTACGTACTTATACCCAGCGAACCTTGCCACGGTCTCGCTCGACTGATCCTAGAATGTATTTTTTGTAAGACGGAAGCGACAAAAATTTTAAGCCATTCGTCGGCTATTTTTTGTCCAGGACAACCGTGATGTCGACTCCATATGACAAAAGAAAAAAAAAAAATCAAAGTTGTCAATGATGAAGAGATGAAGACTGCATCGTTTATGTTTTTTCCTGTTCCCAAAAAGAACGGACTAAGCCGAACCCACCCTTTCCCCCCCTTGCCCCCTTATCACGAAAGTCCTTTCGCAACTTCCTCCAGTGGAGCCAAGACTATAATAATATATTTCATCCAGAAATTTCTCTGGATTGGCTAAAGTGCAACAATTTTTCAGAATATTTTCTGGAAAATAGAAGTAGAAAAAAAACAAGAAACTCTCGTTCGTTTTGAACGATTCTCGACTCCTGATGATCCTCCTCCTATTAAATGAAAAACAACGGCGAGATGACTCCTCTTCACAAGATATTTCAAATGAAGGTCCAAAAAAAAAAAAAAAAATTATTTTGTGCCTCAAGTTTCGAGAATTTTCTCCAATCAACAAGAAAAGCGTCCAAATGTGAAATATTGAAAGAAATTGTTTGTACGACGAAAAATAGCAATTTTAGGTTTATTTTTTTATTGATAAGTAAACAAAGTTGGTTACAATAGGAGAATAGCGCAGTTGGTTAAGGCGCTGTCCACGCGATATTGCCATTCCCTGCGTCGGGGGTTCAAATCTTCTCAAAGTTTGTGTTTTTTATTTCCTTCTAAATGATCCATTTCGTTTTATACAAGTTTTTAATGATGAATTGTTGATTATTATTAATTAATAGTATCGATAATAATATTATCAATAATATTAATATCAATTAATAATTCTTGAATTAATAATAAATTCAGTCATTTTTTTCAAAATTGTGCTTATAAAAAAGCACAAAATATTTATTCGAAAAAATTTAAATTGCAAAGAAGAAAATTTAATCCCCCCCCCGGAAAATTTTTTCTAAAAATGATAAAATATTTTTCCCTGTTGTATCAGGAGATTCTTGATTCTAAAGCGACAAAAATGGACTTGAAAGAGTGAAATTATTTATGATGAAGTGGAAATTATTATTATTCGTCATTGCAACGATTACCGGTGATCTGTAACTTTTCTTATGTTAAGAATATGATGATTGAAAAAAAAAAATATTCGCAATGCTAATTATAGCCAAGTTTTTCGATATTGACGCAATTTTATGTTAGGGTAACGTCTGATGGACTCGAGGACATTTCTTCGATATTAAAAACAAAAAAGAAAAGAAGAATTGTTCATTATTTACCGGTGCTAAGGAAGACTTTTTGTTTTTGATTTTTATTTATATAAATGAAATTTTGATTATTTGTTAAGTAGAAGTGAAAAAATTTTCAATCATAATTCGAAGAGGTATACAAAAATTATTATAAATTATTCATAAATAGTCTTAAACAATAATTTAAAAAAATTATTTAAACAATTACTTAAATTAGTTGTATAGAAAATCAATTAGTCAAACTAATTGGAGAGAAAATTTTTTCTTTTCTCACAAAATAAAGAATACAAAAATTATTTGTATTCTTTAATTAATTTAATTTTTGTATAATTTTGAAAAAAATATTAACAATATTTTGTTAATATTTGAAAAAGAAATATTTTGTAGTGGAAATATTTTGCGAAATTTCAGAAAAATTTGAAATATGAACAAAAAACCAGTGGAAATTTTTTTTCAAGTACCTCTTCGAATCTATGGTACTTTTTTCAATAGCGTTATTAAAAAGAAAAAAATTTATTGTGTTCAAATTGTAGTTTAATATGTATAGGCATTTAAATTAACTTTGACCTGTTATTCCCGGTTACGAATCCCTGTAAAAAAAATTGTTGTTTATTGTGTTAACTTTACAAAAAAAGAAAAAAAAAATTAAAAAAGGAATTTTTAAGTTTTTAGAAGAAAAAATAAATTCAGTGTTTCAGTTAAAAACTAAATCGAATTTCTTTTTATATTTGTTATATTATAAATTGGTCGTTGATTTTAAACAATGAATTTGTATCTGTAAACTATTAAATCTAAATTATTGTTGCATTCAATGCAATGGAAAATTAATTAACATAGTTTTTTGTTAATTTATAAATTAATTAATACAAATAAATTAATTATATTTTAATTAATTTATTAATTAATTACAAATTAATTTCAAATGAATTTCAAATGAATTTGGAATTGATTTATATGTTAATTGCCAAATATTTTCAAATTAATTACAAATTAATTTATAAATTTACAGAAATTGAAAATCTATTATTGAAAAATTTTGTTGCTTTCAAAATTTTTTGTCATATTTTTCTATCACAAAATATAAACATTTTTGTAAAAATTTTTATTTCTATCTTTTATTTTCATCGTTTATTCAACTTTTACAAATGTAAAAACTTCTTTAAAAACAACAAAAAATAAATATAGAATTTATACAAAAATTTTATTAAAATTTTGAAACAATTTTATTAAAAATTTGAAAAACAAATTATAACAATTTGAAAATTGTTTCTAATGATGACAAAAAGTTTTATACAAATACGAGCAATAAAATTTTCATCTAATTTGTGTTTAAAAAAAAAGTCTGAATCTGTTTATTTTTTAGTAGGATTACTCCAATTTGTTTTGTTTAGTTTTTTGATAAAAATTGGATAATCAGGGAAAATAAATTTTCCAAATTTTTCTCAACTAAATTGTTTTTTTTTCTCTTTGAACCCTTGCCAAAAACAGAAATACGTATGCAGTCTAGGATAATTCAAAAATTGGTCAGATATTAAATGAGCCTTCTTCTATTTTTAATTTTATGATTTTGGGTTTAGAAATAAGTTTTAAACAATAATTTCTCGAAATTAATTTGAATTAATTTTCAAAATAATTCCTCGAAATTAATTTGAATTAATTTTCAAATTAATTAATTTATATTAGTTAAACTAATTTAATTAATAATTTAATTTGAATTAAAGTAATTAATTTGAAAATTTTTTTAAATTTTCGAAAATTCTTTTTTAAGAGATAAATTTAGGTAAAAGTTTTAAAATTGTTCCTAAAATTCAAATTAAAAATTTCAAATTATTAACGAGTGAGAAATATGTCTCTGGTTATTAATTATAATTAAAAGTAAAAAGAAACGAATTCTGAATAATTTTTCGAGGTCAAAATAATAATTCAAAAAAAATTAAGTCAAGAATATTAATTAAACGAAAAATATTTAAATTAAAAATTGAGAATAGAAGAAGAGGCTTATTTTGAATGGCCAACGATCCAAATTCAAAGCAATTTGTCTTGGAACTTAACGACCAGGAAACATGGAAATGAGTAATAATTCTATAATACCGGACGAGTATCTCACTCATAGTACATTAAATACGTAATTTGGTGTCAGGGTAGACCTTTCCGTAGAGTAGAGCCTGTTGTTGGTATATTGCTTAACTTAGAAATACTTATAAAAGACAAAAAAAAGAAGCAAAAAATCATCGCAAAATGTAATTATTAAAAAAAAAAACCAAGTCTAGCTATGAAACAATACATTTTTTTCCACAGCCGCACTTTTATTCCAAAAATATCAAAAAATTTTCCCTTCAGAAAAAAATAAATTTTCACCCTACATTTGAAAAACGAAAAGAAATCTAAATTTACCCACAAATACAAAATAGAAAATAAAAAACCACTGCTAATTTTTTGGGATAAAGTGTCGGTGTGAAATGCGACCTTAATTAATAATAATAATAATATTAATAATAATAACGATAATATTAAAAAAAGCAAAAAAAAAAAAAAAATACTTCGTAAATGTATAATTCAAGTTGATAAGCATTATAAAGAAAAAAAAACTGTATATGAGTCCGCGTTATCGTGCTCCGGAAGCAAGGGACGAAAAATAGAATACGTATAATGATGTACGTAAACAAATTAATGAAGGAAAAAAAAATAATTAAAAAAAAAAGACGACGACGACGAGCAAAACTCTATAATAGACGTCCGAACTCAAGGTGAAATCCCATATACATATATAAATAAATAAAAAAAAAATATATATATATAAATATAGAGTATCTATGTATAGGTAAACGTGAAGGAAAAAGTGAATACTTTACCATTAATTATCTAATTAAAATATTATTCTAAACAGTATCCGTATGTAATTAAGAGACGCGTATGCGAGTCCACACGATATTCTCACGTATAATCCACATAGCGAGAAAAAAAATACCCTATTCGTAAATAGTATTTAGATTCTTTTCTTTTGTTTTTTTTTTCTTAAAGGAGGGATTTTTTCAATTCGCAGAATCGAAAATCGAACGGGAGACATTTTTTTTTAATGTAAGGGCGTGTTGAAGTAATTTAAAGGAATGTTTGCCTCTTTCTGTTCTTTGTCTATTTTTAATTACTCTTTTAATTTTTTTTTGTAATTGCTCTCCGTTTTTCTGATTTCTGTTTTTTAATTACTCTCCATTTTTTTGTTTTTTAATTACTCTCCGCTTTCAGATTTTTAATTACTTAAAAAAATTAATTTTTTTAAGACCGTAGGTTCTTGATTTCTGTATTTTTTAATTACGGCTTTTTAATTTTTATAGTCTTCAATTACTCTCCGTTTTTTTATTAATAAAATCTAGTTTTTTTCCTAATTTATTACTTTTTATTACAACCATTTTATTACTAGCGTTCCGTATTTTCTCTTTTCTCAGTGAGAAGCGGACCCCCTCCACTATCCTTGGGCGTTGGGAGGGGGAAGTTCGCGTCTGCGCTGAAAGAGAAGCTCGCTTATGCGCTAGGAGAGGGGGACGTTAGGTGGGGGGAAGCTCACTTCTACCCCGGCAAACATTCGCTTTAAAAATAGTTTGTAAAAAGTATTCACATTTATTTTTTTTTCTTTTTTCAATTAAAAAATGATCGATTTCTTTTAGCCTGATGGCTTTTTCCTATTTTTTTTCAAGTTTGAATAGAATTTTTGCAAAAAATAAACTAAAAAAAACGTCAAAGAGTGTGATCGCGCCCGGCACATGTATA